GAGAGAGAGAGAGAGAGAGAGTGTGTGTGTGTGTGTATGTGAGGGAGGGTACAAGAGGCGGGTGTGCGTGAGCAAATAGTGGATTGATCGATTGTCGATATCTTTTGTGTGCAGTCGCCCCAAATCGCATCCACATCATCATCCACACGCCCAAATCTATATCCACGTACCTTCAATGAAAGATCTCAAATCGCGATCAGCACAGCTAGCTCACTCGTCTGTCTGCACGGAAGAGAGCGGGGCCGTGCCGCTCTCGCCTTGAACCCGGTCGCCGGTGTCGTTCGGATCTTCTCGCTCGCAGCTGCTGCCGCGACGCGACGCTCATCATACTTTTTGACTTGTCCCGTGCATGCATGTACCGTACCGGTATATGATGCGATGCAATAATGCGCTGCGCTGACTTGCATTTTGTTCTAGTGAGTCATTCGTCTTGACTTTTGGTCCTGATGAGTTCAAACGGGCGGCCATCGCAAATCAAAATGGTGCAGCTGCGGGTTTTAAATCAAGAATCAATCGAGTCGAGCCACACGTGTACACGGCCGTCAAGATCGAGTCGTGAGTCAAGTGAAGAGTCTTGAGTCGACGTGAGATCTTGTCTGATCTTGTGGGTCAGGAGATTTGCGATCACCTGACTTGCGATCAACGCTGTCGCTGCATGGTGATCATCTGCCGGCTCATCATACATCACGCCGATGGATTGTGCAAGAAACAATCACAACTGAATGTCACCAGTCAGCAAAGCGGGGAACAAACAACCTGACTATACCCTTCCAAATGCGAGGCACCCTTCACTCGCGGCTACTCCTGCGCGTACGTTACCGCCATTCAGCGGCGCAGCAGTGAGGTGTTGGCGCGCTCAGAAGCTGTCAAAGACCTAAAGGGGTGCGTGCGACCCGAATGGCAGTCAGAAGTCACGGGTCTGAGATGCAGCGAGTCCATAGACCATGAAAGCAAGAATGGGGCGTGTGATATTGTGAACCTCATGAAAGCCTACGCGTTAGGGGATATGAAGGGCTTTACCGCGCTATATAGTAGATGTGTACAGGCATACTATTATAGCGTGACAGATATACGAGTCAAGACTCGCTCGCGACTGCATGGCTGCTGCATGGCCTGCGCGCTCACCTCGATCCACGTGGCCCAGCTGCCCAGCTAATCTTCTTGCGGGCAGGAACAACGCTCCTGCAAGCAGACGCAGCGATTGATGAGGGACGAGTCGCGTGTCGAGCGACGCCTCTGCCATGCATGGTGGGGACGCAGAGCAGCAGGCCGGCGCGGCAGGCATATCACATCACATCACGCAGGCAGGAAAGATCGAGGGCGTCCGCCGTGTACGTTGAAGCGCAACTTTTTTGAAGCTTCGCAGGATTCTGTGATGAGCGTTGGTTGCGATGATGCGTTTGGAGGTGATGAAGGCAGATTGAGGGACGCGCGTGACTCGCTCGCAGCTATAGCCTCGATCGCTTCATTGAGGATTGCATCCCCCTCCTTCCCTTGCGCCCACCTCTTTCTCCAAGTGCACATCTCAAAACAGCTCCATTCTCATTTCTCGCTCCATTGCACCCACGCTCTGCGACAAGTCTAAGCAAGCGCATTTCAGGCAGCGAGCATCCATCCCTTCATCATCCGAGGCGGACTAGCCTCTTTTCGCAGCAAGCACACTTCCACACCGCACCGGTCCTTGGCCTCCTTCTTCTTTCGCGGTTCCGC